ACCCGGACATAAATTGGGACAGAGGGACTAGTAGCTCAGCAAAGGGAATTAGTTTTTTAAACTTGTTAAATGACACCTTCATGTCACAACTTGTACAAGCACCAACTAGAATGGACGCTTGTCTGGACCTGGTTTTAACAAACAACGTTGATCTTTTGACCAATATTCAAGTAGGTGAGCACTTGGGAAATAGTGATCACAATATGGTGTCCTTTGAAATAAACTCAAAAAAAACAAAAGCACATGGGGTATACTAAAACATATAATTTTAAAAAGGCCAATTTCAATAAGTTAAGGGAAGCTTTACAATATATTGACTGGCATAAACTCTTTAGTGAAAAGAACACTGAGGATAAATGGATCATCTTCCAACAAATATTAGAAAGGTACATTTCTCAGTATGTACCATTGGGAAATAAATATAAAAGAAACAAATTAAAACCAATGTGGCTTAGTAGAGAAGTAAAACAAGAGATTAAAAATAAGAAAAGGGCATTTAAAGCATTTAAATCGGACAAATCAGATGCATCTTATAAAAGATATAAGGAAGCAAATAATGCGTGTAAAAAGGCAATTAGACTTGCTAAATTTCAAAATTAAAAAATGATAGCTAAAGAGAGCAAAACCAACCCCAAAGCATTTTTTAAGTACATAAATTCTAAAAAACCCAAAAATGAAAGTGTAGGTACACTAAAAACTGAAACAGAGATGTTAGTTAATGAAGACCAGGAAAAGGCAGGAATTTGAAATAACTATTTCTCCTCCGTATATATTAAGGAAGAACCCATGGCAATAGATGTGCAAATGATTGCTACTAAAAACTTGCAGAATAATTGTAATTGGTTAACTCAAGACAAGGTGCTGCAGCAACTAAAGAAAGTTAATATAAACAAAGCTCCAGGGCCTGACGGTATCCATCCACGTGTACTTAAGGAACTAAGTGTAGAAATAAGTGAACCTCTGTTTTTAATCTTTCAAGATTCTTTTCTTTCAGGAAGTGTTCCGGAGGATTGGAGGAAGGCAGATGTGGTTCTTATATTCAAAAAGGGTTCAAAATCCTTGCCTGGAAATTATAGACCTGTGAGCTTAACTTCTGTGGCTGGTAAAATATTTGAAAGGTTATTAAGGGATAATATTCAAGAATTCCTTGAGAAGAACATGGTTATCAGCAAAAATCAGCACGGTTTTATGAAGCACAGGTCATGTCAAACTAACTTGATTGCGTTCTACGAAGAAGTAAGTAGAAGTATAGATCAGGGTGTTGCCGTGGATGTGATCTATTTGGATTTTGCCAAGGCATTTGATACAGTTCCACACAATAGATTAGTGTTCAAACTCAAGGAAATCGGTCTAGATGAAAATGCTTGTACTTGGGTAGAACATTGGCTTAAACAGAGTACAAAGAGTTTTCATTAATGGTAAATTTTCAAGCTGGACAGAGGTGGCAAGTGGTGTCCCTCAGGGGTCTGTTCTGGGACCCCTTCTTTTTAACATGTTTATAAATGATCTTGAAGACAGCATTGAAAGTCATGTTTTAGTGTTTGCAGATGACACAAAACTTTGTAAAATAATACAATGTGAGCAAGATATTACTGCAGAGGGATTTAGATAGACTGGGGGACTGGGCACTCAAATGGCAGAGGAAATTTAATGTTGAAAAATGCAAAGTTATGCACTTCGGCGTAAAGAATATACAAGCAACGTTTACCCTTAATGGAAACGAATTAGGGATAACAACACACGAAAAGGACTTGGGATTTGTTATAGACAACAAACTATGCAACAATGTGCAATGTCAATCAGCAGTGGCCAAGGCCAGTAAGGTATTGTCATGCATGAAAAAGGGCATTCATTCTCGGGACAAGAATATAATTTTGCCTCTTTATAAATCACTGGTAAGACCCCATATTGAATATGCTGTGCAATTTTGGGCACCTGTTCTAAAGAAGGATATTATGGCACTAGAAAAAGTGCAGAGGCGGGCTACAAAATTAATAAAAGGAATGGAACATATCGGCTATGAAGAAAGGTTAACAAATTTAAACCTATTTAGTTTAGAAAAACGTCGCCTGAGAGGGGATATGATAACATTATACAAATATATTCGGGGCCAATACAAACCATTGTGTGGAAATCTATTCACAAACCGGACTTTACATAGGACACAAGGCCATGCGTTTAGACTGGAAGAAAGAAGATTTCGTCTAAGGCAAAGGAAATGTTTTTTTACTTTAAGAACAATCAGGATGTGGAATTATCTGCCTGAAGAAGTGGTTTTATCAGAGCCCATACAGATGTTCAAACAGCTACTAGATGCATACTTGCAAAAACAGAATATTCAAGGATATAATCTTTCAATGTAGGGTAATAACTGCTTGATCCAAGGATAAATCTGACTGCCATTCTGGGGTCAAGAAGGATTTTTTTTCCAAGCTTGTTGCAAAATTGTGCTTCAAACTGGGTTTTTTTGCCTTCTTTTGGATCAACAGCAAAAAACAAATGTGAGGAAGGCTGAACTTGATGGACGCAAGTCTCTTTTCAGCTATGTAACTATGTAACTTTATTATCCATTTATTTTTTTTCATTATTTAAGTCTGTGGTATCTATCGGGGAGAGAGAGGGAGGGAGGGGAGTGTGTGTGTGTGTATATATATATATATATATATAAAAATATCAAAATCCCCTGCACTCACGCTTATGGTGTTCCAATGCCGGGCGGACTACCAGAGCTCGAATAGGTACAACATCCAACAAGAAAGGCTGCTCTCTGGACTTAAAATGAAAATTTATTTAAATAATTTAAAAATAACGACCAATGTTTCGGTCCCCGATCGGGACCTTCCTCAGGGTTGTCCTGTTATCTTTGACCCTGAGGAAGGTCCCGATCGGCTCATCCAGGATGGCACATCAATGCGAGCTGTGGCAAGAAGGTTTGCTGTATCTGTCAGCATAGTGTCCAGAGCATGGAGGCGCTACCAAGAGACAGGCCAGTACATCAGGAGACGTGAAGGAGGCCATAGGAGGGCAACAACCCAGCAGCAGGACTGCTACCTCTGCCTTTTTGCAAGGAGGAACAGGAGGAGCACTGCCAGAGCCCTGCAAAATGACCTCCATCAGGCCACAAATGTGCATGTGTCTGCTCAAACGGTCAGAAACAGACTCCATGAGGGTGGTATGAGGGCCCGACATCCACAGGTGGGGGTTTTGCTTACAGCCCAACACCGTGCAGTTCTCTGGCATTTGCCAGAGAACACCAAGATTGGCAAATTCGCCGCTGGTGCCCTGTGCTCTTAACAAATGAAAGCAGGTGCACACTGAGCACATGTGGCAGACGCCGTGGAGAACGTTCTGCTGCCTGCAACATCCTCCAGCATGACCGGTTTGGCAGTGGGTCAGTAATGGTGTGGGGTGGCATTTCTTTGGGGGGCCGCACAGCCCTCCATGTGCTCGCCAGAGGTAGCCTGACTGCTATTAGCCTGACTGTGACAGGGAGGGGTGCAAAACCAAGGAGTTGGCTAGACTCCCAAATATATATATATGAAACAAGGGGGGGTTGGTTGCTCTCACCTGAACATGCATAAATGGGGGTGCTGCTGGGGGCCAAATTATACAATACACAAGATCCAGTGCACTCACCTATCCACTAAACAGCAACTTCAATGTTGAAAGATTTTATTTGTTTTTTTAAAAACACCTAATTTGGCAAAAATAATGGGGGTTTAGTTACATTATATGATCATACATTGCATAAGCCTGCCACAACGTCAATGTACCCCATCTTTGGCAGGTCCTACACTAACAGCCTAATGTCTGCTCTTATGAGATTAACCCACTTACTTGGGGAAAAAATTCCATCTGGGGCTCCCTGCAGTAAAAGGCTAAATAGGGCCCTGGGATGAGGCACCTGTGACATATATATATAATTTAAGATTAAAGGATTTTTTTCATAAGTCACAAAGAGACCAATCTACGAATTATGAGCAGAATACAGGACACAAATTTAAAGTTGCAAGTAAATTTGATCCGCCAATTTGCCATCCTACAATAAAAACCTTTCTTACATTGGTTAAAACTGAGACGGAAGATATTCTATCGAATCAACATTCAACACATTTTTATCTTTCAAAAAAACAGAGAGAGATTATCCAACAACTATCTAAATATGCCTCTATCATTATACGTCCGGCAGATAAAGGCTGCAGAATTGTAATACAGAATTATAAAGATTATGCACTGGAAATATATAGACAGTTGGAGGATACAAACACCTATCAGATCCTTGGAGGGGATCCAACTAATAAAATAGCATAAAAAATTCACGAGACTCTCACATTCGGATTAACTGCGGGATACATGGATATAAAACTGTTCAATTTTCTTAATAAAAATAACCCTCGGACTCCAGTCATTTATACACTCCCGAAAATCCATAAGCATTCCACTAAACCTCCCGGATGAACTATCGTTTCGGCAGTTGATGGGATTTTGGAGCCGATTGCAAAGTACTTGGACTTTTTGTTCAAATCACCAGTCAATGCAATTCCAACATGCATACGAGATACGGCACAATTAATAGAGGAGTTGAAAAATGTAAAACCAGCTGATGAACAGATTACTTTAATTATTTTAGATGTATCCAGCCTCTACATAGTAATAGCCCATGAAGGGGGGCTTTGATGCCATGAGAGATTTACTGTTTGAGACAGAACACTATCAAGGTCCTCCAATAGAGTATATGTTGGAACTCACTGCCTTGGCCCTCAGGAACAACTACTTCAGATTTGAGACTAAGTGGTATCTACAAAGAGCAGGGACATCCATGGGGGCAGCAATGGCCCCCATGTATGCAAATTCTTATATCTTTAAACGATATTCTGGACACATCTTAAAGTATTTTCGGTACATAGATGACATTCTAATCTTGTGGAAAGGTGGTCTCGAGGAAGCAACAAAATTTGTTGAAAACGTTAACGGATTCGAAACACCTATCAGAGTGACATCTAATATCAACAGTCACAAGATCCAATTTTTGGATCTAGAGATTATACTTGAGCAAGGAAAAATCGAATACCAACTATACACAAAACCAACGGACCGTAACACCTTACTCCATTATGAGAGTGCGCACCCCAAACATGTGAGGGACTCTTTACCTTACTCACAATTTTTGAGAGTAATTCGAAACAACTTAAGGGAAGTCCAGTGTGAAGTACAGTTACATGAAATGTATAACAAATTCACTCTAAGAGGCTATACACGTAAAGTGTTGGATAGAGCACTTAGAAAAGCTAGAGACCCTATAGATGGGGGGATACAGCAGCCACGTGATATAAAATCGAGAATTTATTTTCCAGTGACATACAATACATCTACCACCAGACTCTGCCAAACATTCACCAAAAATTGGCATATTGTGGAAAAAGATAACAGCCTTCCAGATAGTCTCCATAATAAACCGATGTTTTCTTATAAGAATAGCAAGAGTCTGAGAGACCTTCTAGTCCATACGGACCCGGTTTAAAGCTATATGCCGGCAAATATAACAAATAACGGTTGTGTGAGATGTTTAGGGTGTGTCACCTGTGGACACCTTATTCCATGTAAGAGCTTCAATCATATACATACGGGGCAGTTATTTAGAATTCAACATAGGATCAGCTGTCGGACTGACTTTGTCATTTATAAATTGTCCTGTCCGTATGGGCTTAATTATGTCGGCAAGACAGAAACTGCTCTTTGCGAAAGAATAAGGGGACATAAGTCCAGCATTCGGCTGGCTAATAGAGACAAAAAGTCGGATAAACCAGTGGCACGTCACTTTTTGGAAATGCGTGGCGATAGACCATCTTCCACTCTCAAGAAGAGGTGGCAACAGGAAAGAAAAACTACTGCAGAAAGAGACATGGTGGATCAAAAAATTGGGGACACTTGCTTCTAATGGACTGAACGAGTAATTATCTTACATTTCTTTTCTGTGATAGATAAGTGTTAAATTGAATGATCAAATATATGGAATTTGTAGTGACTTTATTATTTTTATTATTTAGCTTAAGTGCCAGGTCCTTTTTTAAATCATTTTTTAATATTAATCATTTTGGGGTTTAAGATATTTCTACACTTTTTTAATTACAGACTATAAATAAAGATGCTTATTATTACTCTTTATTGTTTGTATAGCAAATATTTTGCTATATCCATTTTTTTGGCTCATATGAATATGTTATATTCATATTTATATTCACATTCTTTATACAAGTCATTTGAGGGCTGTATTTATTTTGTTTAATTTATTTTTGCTAGTTATGTATCTAGCAGGGATAACCGGCAACATTCTGTTCCCGTTCAGGGAGCAGACACTAGACCAGAGCCACATGTTTAATATGCATGCGCTGGAATCTCCTTGGTTACAAGAAACGCTGGGGCTTGGGGAGCGAGCCGGAAAGTGAAGGTTAGGTGCTTAGCGCCATAATCACTATGGCAACCAGCCCACGAATGGAGATAGCAAGTGTGATTAATGAGACGTTGATTTCTGGTGGTGTCTGCCCGTACGTCCTGAGGTCGGGATGGCCGGCCCCTGTATACAGCTGATCTGTAAGTTTGTTTTGATTGTTGTTCCTATTTAGGCACAGTTTTGTATCACTTGTTTGTTGCTTGCTGTCCTGAAGTTCCCAAGCGGAACTGAAACGTTGACGATTGGAGTAAAAGAAAAGTTTTCTTTCAACAAATCCTGGGAATGCTGATTATTTTTGGCTTTTATATATATATATATATATATATATATATATATATATGTGTGTGTGTGAAACAAGGGGGGGCTGTTTAGTGGATAGGTGAGTGCGCTGGATCTTGTTTATTATATATATTTGTGCACATGTAATTTACATATGAAATAAATGAAGCACTTTTGAAGACCTGTGAGTGCACCTTATTTGCATATTTTTGTATTTACAACGCTGAGGTTTGCACCCAGGCAATATTTCTTTGAATACCTGCATTAAAGGGTGAGTGCCAAGGTTATCTCTTTTTATTTATATATATATAATATATATATATATATATATATATATATATATATATATATATATATATATATATATATATATTTGTAGTCGGGGACATAAGCCGTATAGTAAGATAAGTACATAAGAATATAACAGTCGGTTGTGGTGTGCCGGAACCGACGTATGGGGTAGGCCTGTAATAAAAGAGGGCCTACCCATGTATAGTGATAAAGTGGTGAGGCAGCTGGGATGAACCCAGTGATACCATTTTTGATTAGGAGGGGGCCTGAGCTTATATAGCCAGGTAACCCCTCCCACAATTACAGGCTACGCCTTTCTATTTGTAGTTGGGGACATAAGCCGTATAGTAAGATAAGTACATAAGAATATAACAGTCGGTTGTGGTGTGCCGGAACCGACGTATGGGGTAGGCCTGTAATAAAAGAGAGCAAAAAGGTTGGTGTAACCAAATAACTTTATTGAACATGAGTTACATTGCTAGACCTTTAAATGCCAATCTTAATTCTTGTTCTGATTGTGGAATGTAAGTGGCGTATGCAGCAGATTTCCACCGCCCTAGTCTTTTAATTATGAGTTGGGACGTTGTGGCTTGAAGCCGCAGAAGCGGCTCCAATTCTAAATGAGTGTCCTGAAAATCCTGTGGGGTCAAGACTGAGTCTGATGAACAACGTTTTGATGTAGTGTATGAATTTTGTTGTGGTTAAAGGGTTACCATGTAATGAAAGTAGTGGAGGATTAGGACCGAGACCTGCAAGGGTAGCAAGATATGTGTCAAATAATGTGACAGGGCACCATTGATTACCGTTGGGATAATAGCAGACTTTGGTAGGTGGACCTAGCTGATTGTTAAGGTGGCAAAAGGAGATAAATGCAATAATAGAGTCTAGTGAATGAGTGTCGCTTATCTGATAGTCTGTCGTGAATTTGGTATATAGGGTGAATGCTCGATTGTATGCACAGGATGTGTTAGTAGAGAGGGCTGCACCAGCTAGGTATCTGCTGTGTGACAGCAGTCTCTCTAGTCCAGGATGAGGTCTTGGAATGAGGGGGTACTGACCGGTCTGGTGTTGGCTGTAGGATGGATCCTGAAGAAGACTATGATAGCCTTCGGATTAGTTTCATGATAGTGAGTGAGGAAGTTCTGCCCATGTTTATGATGTCACAGGCTGCTTTGTTATCGGAGAAGCATTTTATTGCTTTCCCCAGCCATAGGTGCCCCCATACTCTGGAGGCTGCAACTATCGGATAGATTTTGAATAGGGCAGATGTAGTGTTGAATGCGGGCAAACCAGGAATCTCTAAATCAGTCATTGCCAAAGATGGCTGCAAACCCTGTGTGAGCTGCGGCATAGGTCCATATGACCCGGGAGGAATCTGATAGGGGTGTAAGGAACATGGCTTTCCCATTCCAATGAGATAGGAACCGCAGCCACATGTGTAGATCTGCCATGGCGTGAGCATCTAGTGATAAGGAGCTGGTGTCGGTATTGAGCAGAGGGAGAAGGCACAACAATCCAGAGATGAATGCCCGGCCTTGTGGAATAATTTTCATGGCGAAGTTCAACATGCCCAGTAAGGATTGTAGGTCTGACCTGGTACACGTGTTCCTGGCCAGAAAATATTCCACCAACTCTGATTTGCTGCACCTTCTCCCCTGGTAACTAGCCTGTAAAGTGACAGTGTCTAGGTGAATACCCAGGAAGGTAAGATATGGTGGTAAGGCCTATCGTGTTTTCTTGGGACAGTGGTACCCCCAGTGCTGCAAATAGGGCCAGGGTCTTCTGGAGACTGACTGGACAGGACTGAGGTGGTTCTATGGTAAGGAAGTCGTCAAAATAATGTAGAACTGAGGGGCAATGAGTGATGTTTAGAAGTAGCCAACAAAGTGTGTCGGCACATATATCAAACATTTTCGGACTGCTTTTGGCTCCAAAAGTTAACCAAGTCGCAAAATAATATTTGTTCTCCCTCCTGATGCCATGCACGTGTCACAGGGATGGGTGAATGGGTAGGAGCTAGAAAGCATTAGAAATATTGTTTTTTCCTAACCAAGCTCCTACCCCTGCCCTTAGAATAGCCTGAATGGCATCATCCACTGTGGTATATTGCAGGGGGAACTTTTCAGAGGGGATTAATGAATTAATGCTGGAGGTAGCTAAAGAATGTGGAGCGGACAAATCGTAAATAAGCCTTTTTTATTGTTGAACTTTCCAGTGGCTATACCTATTGGGTTGTTACGCCAGCTGGAAAATGGAGGATGAGAGAAAGGGCCCCAAGATAAACCCGTTGGTAAGTCTTTCATGAGTAACAAATCTGTGGTGACAGGGTCAAGGAGTGCTGACTGTAGGTTGGGACATTCATGAATCCCTGTGGGGAGTGTAACGAGGCCAGTGTGGAAACCGTCGGTGAAGCCTTGGATCAGGAAGACAACTAGGTGATGGGAAGGGTATGCCTGGAGGTAAAATGTCAGGTTGTCGATGCTAACTTCAGTTAGTTATTGATTTGGGTACAAACGATTTGGACAAATAGTTTTGGTGTGTGCCCTGGAACCAATTGAGCAGATGTGCAGCAGTCTGCACGAGCTAAATCCACAACTTCCAGATTTAAAATTGTTGCAGATTTGAGCTTTCCCAAGGTATATACCTTTCTTTCAATCCTCTGTGTTCTGCCGTGGAGGAACCGAAGGAAGCACCACTAGTGGTAGGAAGGCTTGGATCGAGTGGGCATAAGTTGGTGGAGTGTGAGATGGAGGTGCACAAGTCACAAGATGGAGGCTTTTGGCCGGTGAAATGACGGCAGAAAAGTTCTGTGTCCAGCTTACTCCAGTTGGTATGGGTGTTAAACTGAGTAAGGGATGCCGCTGCCTTAGCCAAAAAAGATTTGTGATAATCATAAAAGGATAAGCCACCATACTTGTGCCCTAGGTCCACCAACTTGTGCATATACAAATCCAACTGCTCCCTATGGTGCAGGGAAGTGGTACACACTACGTCACGATAGAGGCCGAAGGCAAGGACAAACTCAGGTATGGTAAGCTTTCGGTTGAGTCTAGGGTCTCTGGCTTTTAGCACAACCGAAAGATCACTATAGCGATAGGCCATGTTCTCTACTACGTCCTGAGATGCGATAAGTAATGATTCTAGGTTTATGTCCTTGCCTTCAAGAATATCTTTACGTATAGTCGGGGGTACAAAGTGTGCAGGCTTGA